TGGGGCTCAGCTTTGTGTGTGTCTGTGTGTGTGTGTGTGTGTCTCACCAATGTCGGTGCCTTTTCCCAAAGTGAACGTGAAGCCGAAGCCCTGGAGGCCACAGTCCGTGTGGATGACAACATAAGCGACTGAATAGTCCGGGTCAGTGTGCTACACACACACACACACACACACACACACACACACACTGTAAACATGTGACTGGATTCACTGTGTGTGTGTGTTGGTGCAGAGATTTCTCACCATGGCGTCTGACCCATGCTGCTCCAGAGACGTCGGGAATCGAACATCCCTGACCGTCACATTCACAATCCTGTGTTTCATGTTGTCTTGTGCCTCAGGCCCTGATCACCGTCCACTTCCTTGTATAGGTCAATCCCGCCCACCTCCCTCTGCCATTGGTGTAACCACATGTCACTCAACCCACCAAGAGCTGACGTTGTTTGAAGACCTTGTTTCAGCAGATTGAAATATGAAAGAAAACCAGTGGTGTTGCCTTGGAAACCAGATATGACTGGAAACCAGATCATCAGTCAACACGTCGATATGTTGTAATCGCTCAGTGACAACAACATCAAACTTCTGATCAGATTCTACATCACACTCATTCCTGTGACGACATATCCGTTTGTCCTATAATGTGTTAAATCAAATCTATCAAGCCAAATGTAAAATCAACTTTTTATTGTACAAACTCCCCACATCACTCTCCCTCCCTCCCTCCCTGATATAATACACAATCTTATTTATTTTATTCATAATCATAACGATCATAGAAAATGAGGATTTTATAATATACAAAGCCCTTTTGTACAAGCTCAGTCGTCGTTAATCTATTATAATACTGTCCTGATGAGTAAATACAGGAACAAAGAGAAAATCACTATATAAAAAACCCACTGCCGTACAAATCGTTTTTGCAGGATACTTGAAGTTCTTCAGCATCACACTGTAGAAAATTAAACGTCTGTTTCCAGCTTAGTTTTTTTTTCATGTTCATGTTTCATTTTCAAAAAACCCAGTTCCGTAGTGTGTGAAATCCTCCAGCGTGCTCGGCTGCTTTCAGATGTGAATGAAAGTCCATGAGTTTCATTATTGTTCAACTGTTATTCTGTAAATCCCGAACCTGGTGACACATTTACCAGACTGTTCTTATGTAAGCGTGTCCCCGTGGTCATCACAGAGAGATTATACAACAAGAAAAAAAACATCTGAGCGGGTGTTCCTGCACGATGCTGATGATGATGCTGATGATGATGATGATGATGATGATGGACATTCAAGGGAAAAACTTCAAATGAAGCTATAAAAACATGTCCACGTGATATGATCAATTCTAAAGGGAGCATAACATTGAAAAATAAAACTAGGAAGAACAGAGAGGTGAGAAGGAGTCCGTCTACCTCTGGGCATTAAAATAAAAAAGAATAAAAAAGAAATTGCACTGTAATGAATGAAATGTAGATCAAGTTCAGCTGTGTGGAATTGGCTTTTAAATAATCGTTGTCAAATGGACTGTGATAATGACCATCGACTCCCCAGAGAGCTTCTCATACATATGATCTCCGTCAATTATTAATCCACTTAATGCTTCGTGAACTAATCCACCACAGGGGCTGTAATTTGAAGGAAAATTGGAGTTCAAAAGTCCAAAAGCAGAGTTGCTCTCAATAATGTTTTCTTTTTTTTTATGAGGCATTATCACAGCTTATTACACAGCGACACAAAACTGTATTCATGAGCTGCGTACATGTAAAACAAAGCTGATGTAGATGTTTGTCTATTTTATACAAGAGGAATAAATCTGCAGACTGGAGTACCATGGCTGAAAATAAAATGATATGAAAATACAACAAAATGTTTGGATGAAGGATTTAAAAAAGAAGGGTAGAGCAGTAGAGTAGTGGTTGGTGCGACTGATCATCCTGCTTTCCAGTCGACTTCGTATCAGAGTCAGAAGTTTCCCCTTCCGTCTCCTCCCAGGCTATAGGTTCTCTCCCGGCTGATACTGTGGCTCCGTGGCGGTAAAATAATCCTCCAGGAACGACTGCAGGTACTCGAACGTGGGCCTCTCGTCCGGGTCCTTCTTCCAGCAGAGCTTCATCATCTCGTGTAGCGACTCGGGGCACCCCTGGGGGCAGGGCATGCGGTAGCCCCGCTCCACCTGCTCCAACACCTCCCGGTTCACCATACCTGAGGGATAGGTGCACAGTTAAAATCCTCCCTCATCTCAAACACAAAGGCCCAGGATCACAATCCTTTGTGCGTCTAAACCTAAACACTGAGTTTACAATGATGTACAAAAAGATTAAAGTGAGATTTCCCACATTTAAGAGGCTCAGACCAGCATAGAGCTGTTTTTTGTCTCGCTCAATTGTTATTCGCTACCCTGCTGAGAATTAGATGAAAAGATTAGCACCAATCTCTGAAGACTAAATATGAAGCTATAGACTAGGAGATGTTAGCTTAGCTTAGCATAATGACTGGAAACATATGGAAACAGATAGCCTGGCTCTTTCCAGTGGGGAAACACAAATGTACACAACCAAAGATGGAATATAAAGATGGAAACCATGTTCCCAAAAGTGAAGCCAAAACGTCTTGGTTGCCCCCCCCCCCCCCCCCCCACCCTGCAGTATAGCTCTTAAATCATAAATCCTCCATGTTAACAGATGGGACATGGACCAACCTAAAAAGTGAAAGCACACAATATAAGTTTTTCTCAAAGATGGTTTCTGTCATTTCAAATAGTTCTCATCGTGTTTGAGTATTATTTTTTCTGGAAAGTTGGATTTTGGGTGAAGCATCATGATTGACAGCTGAGACTGACTCCATCCCCCGATCTCTGCTGCACAGACTCTGGCTCCAAATACGTGAGATGGTGGCGTTTGCATCTGGGATAGTTTAGCTTCCTTTCAGGATAGTGGGAGTAGGTGGAGACGTGTCATTCATCTTTCGACCATCCATGTTATTTCTGTTAAACTGATTAAACTGTAGTAGTGCAGCATATAAGACACTGTTAAAGCACAAATTGTAGTTTTTACATTTATGTTTTTATTTTATTAAACAAACTAAATATAATGTACAAATGTGTGATCTTTAGAAATGCTGATAGGGAGATTTTGTTATTTTTGGATGGAGCCAGTCTATCTGTTTCCCCCGTATATCATGTTTTTATGCTAATTCTTTATTCCATATTTCTTTAATCAATTATAAAAATTGTTGTCATTATTTGCTGCCAGTGGACTAATCTACTAATGGTTTCAAATCAGATATGGAGTCGAGCTGTGTGAAAGTAGTGCAGAACACTGCAGGCACTGCTGCCCAGGGCCGGATCAGTCTGGCAGATGGTTATAAAAAAAAGAGTGGTGTTCAATCTCCTGATCGTTCCCCCACCAGATGGTCTCATCTAATCTCAGTGTGTGTCTGTGTGTGTGTGTGTGTGTGTGTGTGGAAGTCAGTGTTACCCCTGCAGAGGCATAAACAACCAGCGCAGACAATGTCAGTGAGCTTTACTTCATCCTCTGACATTACCAAACACGCAAGCTTGACGTCTGCTGACTGAAATCAGATAACGACGGCCGTGATTCACCGCCCTCTGAGGCCGTGATTTCCCAGCATGAGTATCATTTTGTTTGTGTGTGTGCGCGTGTGTTTTTACCTGGGTAGGGAACTCTGCCTTTAGTGACAAGCTCGGTGAGTAAGATACCGAAGGACCAGACGTCTGACTTGATGGTGAAGCGTCCGTACAGTGCAGCCTCAGGGGCCGTCCATTTAATAGGGAATTTGGCTCCTGTGTGTGGAGGAAAGGAAGGGTGTCAGGTGATCCCCCACTAGAGGGCGCATGTGTTCACGTCTGGTTTAATTTATAGGAAGCCACAAAGGCTGCATAAAGTTAGAGTTTCAGTGACGGGTCCATCTTTCTGGTTTATATAGACATCACATAAAGTTTTCATGAATCTAAAGCAACAACTTTTAGATATTTTCTGTGAACTGAATTTAATTAATGAGCATTAAAACCTGCTCAACTTCAGAAAGAAGAAGAATTGATGAGACTCAAAATTTCAAAGCATGGGAACAAAAAAACAAAATTCGCACCATGCACAAAGTGAAAGTTTGGTGAAGCAGCTCTTGAAGCTGCAGACAGTTCTCCCAGTGTGTGAAAAGTGCAATTAATGAGAAGAAACAGGAGCATCTGGTTTTCACCATCAACCTTAATACACCATGATAGGAGACAACAGGGAATCGTCCTCGCTGCGAGGTCGCTGCTCTGGCCATTTCTACCTTGACACCTCGTTCGTTCGTGACTCTGTGGGAGTGTTTAAACACCAACCTTGCCTGGCTGTGTACTCATTGTCCTCTATCAATCTGGCCAGGCCGAAGTCGGCGATCTTGCACGCCAGGTTGTCGCCCACGAGGATGTTGGCGGCGCGCAGGTCCCTGTGGATGTAGTTCATCCTCTCGATGAAAGCCATGCCATCAGCGATCTAAGAACAAACAGTTTGACAGCTTTTCATGACCAATCATTTTTAGCTTCTCACACTCTGAACATCAAGCCCCTTTTTTTCCAGTCTGTGCCAAATCTGGGAGAGGAAGACATACTCAAGACATGCTTGTTCTATTTTTAAGGAGGTTTAAAATAGATCTCTAAACTTGAATTCCACATAAATTCTGCACTCGTGAAACCATACAAGAATAACCGCCCTGTGGTTGTATGACTCAATCAGTGCTGAGGTAACCATGACCACTGAAACCTAATCACTTCCTCTTTTAGCAAGGCAGACTTGAGATATAATGTCCAAGAGGCCAAAAACATGTTTAGTGAAGCCACTGTGACATTGATATTGACCAACAAATTCTAATCAGTTCATCTTTGAGTGCAAGGGAACGTAGATACAAAATTTGAGGAATCTCCCTCACGGTGTTCCTGAGATATCGTGTTCACAAGGCAAGAAAAATGTGCTTTCTGAGGTCACAGCGACCCTCGTGAAATTCCCTCAAGGTGTTCTTGAGATATTTTGTTGAATCAAGAATCAGATGGACGAAAGGATGGACAATCTGTCGCCGGTGTGGACGCATACAAATACAGGTGTTCTTTGTTCGTCTCACCTTTGCAGCCATGTCCACCAGCAGGACAAGCTTCAAGAATTTTCCATCACCCTCTTTGAGGAAATCAAGCAAGCTTCCTGTAAAAAGAGTAAAAGAGAGAAGTCATAAATGCAAAGATCCGTGATGAGGATCGAACTGTGAGTGAGCCGCATATGAAATGTTAAATATGAAATGTTAAATATTTCAACATTTCCGTCGATCCTTATCAAACCGGCTGAGGGAATTAAACTGAATATTATATCGAGCTTGACTCGGATTCACAGTCAATATTTCAATCAATATTTCTCATTCAGTGTGGAAAAAAAATGTTCTGCAAGAAGAGTAGAGGAAATGTACAAAATAGAACGGCAGGCACTTACACATGCTTTCTCTCTCTCTCTCTCTCTCTCTCACACACACACGCAGAGTCATATGTCATAGAGTTAACATTTACACACACATAAATCTAATTACTCATAAAACCCTGAAGAAAAAAAAAGCATGCATTGCAGCTGAAGAAATTCCTCCCACATGAAAACTGCTGCTGCAGTTTTCAATTAACCATCACGGATTCAAGCCTTAAGGAACCACAGGGGACTTTCAAGGACCTTCAATCTGCGCAGCATATTAATTAAAAACGTCCTTAAAATTTACATTTTTGCCTTTAAGGAGATGAACACGCACGTATCTGACATCACTGCTGAAAGTTCCACGGGTTCAGTTGCTTGATGTTGTTATGCTTTTCTTCAAAAATAGACCTCATCAGTGTAATGTTAAGCTGCTTTTCCAGAGGGGCTGTTATGTGAGTGAACGCAAATGTCCAAGTCAGTAACTCCGAACATTTTCTGGGAACTTTGTCCACGTGGGAATACAGCAAGAAAATGTCCAGAAAATTCACAGAGTGCAAGCGGCCGTGTTGATGATGTGGATGAAAAAGAGCTGGAAAGGAACGAGATTTGATTATCACGGTGCCGCCCCTCCCTGAATTTTTTCTCAAAAGTTTGAAAACAGCTTTACAGGAAAGTGTTTTGTATTCCTCCAGAAAAAGAGATTCTTAGAAAATCAGTTTGAATTACTAATCAAATCAACCAGTCTGCAGCTTTATTGGATTTCTTTCAGGCATGTGTCTTCACCTTTGGCCATGTACTCCGTGACGATGTAGATGGGCTCCTCAGACACCACCGCGTAGAGAGGCACCAGCTTGTCGTGTCTGAGCTTCTTCATGATCTGAGCCTCTTGGAGGAAAGCCTCGGGCGACATGGTTCCCGGCTTCAGCGTCTTTATGGCCACCTTGGTTGTGCCATTCCACGTGCCTGCACCAGGGAGAGGAAAAGCCCACAGATCACAGGGGTAATCAGTGTTGTTAATGGTCTGGGAGCGAGACAATATCATCAATTAGTTCTTGTAATTGCACAGACGTGTGCTGTCATGCTTGAACTTCTGGGATGAGACACAAGACGCTCGCAGTTCAACGAGGAACAGATTCATTTGTCTGCAGCTGAGACGATCTCTGGAGATAAACAGAGGAAGCCGCTGCAGGAAGTGGACAATTCTCCAGTTTAAAAATAAAATAAGCTTCAGAGTGTTTATATTTGTTTGATTCATGCACACAGTGTCTGATTCTGTGTCGTCCCCATCGTCTTAATACCAGTGAATAATAAAAGAATTCTATGATGTTAGAAAAGTACTTTCTGAACATGTGTCTTGTTCGTCCTGCTCTTACCCATCCAGACCTCTCCAAAGCAGCCCTGGCCCAGTTTGAGCTCCAGCCGCAGGGATTCCCGGGGAATCTCCCAGGCATCTTTCGCCAGCCCCTGCGTCTGAGGCTTGACCGTGGGGCAGACCGTGGTCAGCCTGTGGCAAAGCCCGTCGGCGTGCTCTGTGATGATGTGAGACACAGAGATGAAAACGCTACATTACACCCAGCGGCGCCACACACACATATACACACACCCACGAGCCTCTGAACCAGCGCGATACAGCATTTCAAAGCCGGTCCCTTTTTCATGCTAGATTCATTCCATTTGATGTTGATGCATTTCGACGCCCTTACACTAACTGTGATGAAAAATAAATGAGATTAAGTTTTTAACACACCCAAACCCTCTCCAGAGCCACTCTGAAATGAAGTGGGATCACAGCGATTTCACCTCAACACTCCCCAGGATAAACACGGGAGGTGGGAGGCTGAAAATCGTAAACGCATCATCAATTGTTATTAAAATGAAAAGCTATTCATCTCCCTCGGTGACACTCAGCGCAGCAAACTGCATGGTGTGACTGTGGGTAATTTTCAGGACAATTCCTGGATGTGCGATGAAAGACTGTGCTAAATAATGAATGAGAGAAGAGAGGAAATCGAGTGAGAGCGAGAAGCTTTGCAAAAACACGTACCTGTGTAGTGTTTGACAAGCTTCTGCAACATGTCGAACTGAGCCCGTGTGGTGATGTAGTATCCCCCGTTGTCGAGCTTGCGGATCTTGTAGTGTTTTACGTTGTCTCCTTTGGCTTCGTCCCAGTCTCGTATAGAGAGAGAATAAGCACCTGAGGGAGAGAAGAGAAATGTCCTTTAACATGTAAACACGAGTGTCAGTGATTTAACTGCATGAAGACTGGAAGTTTAGAGTAAACAATATATTTCTTAAAATAATATGATATATTTGACTAAGAAACATGGGAGTATCTTGTCTGTCCCAGAGTGGTTGGTTTTTTTGGTTTGTTGTTTGATTTGGTTGGTTGCAGCTACAGCTTATCCATAGCCAGCAATATCAGCTTGTATAAGTTGTACACTATGGAGACGCTGTAGCGGTTCTAGCAACACAATTCCAAGAGTGTCACACAGTGGTTGGTTGATTAGTTTGGTTTGGTCGACTGGTTGTTTGCTTGGTTTTGTTGATTGGTTAGTTTTCGCTTGATTCTTAATCAAAGAAAGACATTTTCGTCCATTTCAGCCTCACTGAGCTCCAACTGCTCACAGACTAACATCAGCACTTATACTTCAGGATGACAGAAAGCCACTTAACAAAGAATGAGTCATCACCTTTCGTAGTTTCACTTTCTCGTACCAAGAAAGTTCCTCTATGGTTGCCTGTGTTCAGCAGCAGCCTCTCGGCGTCTTTACGTCCCATTTTACCAAAATACCACCTGTAAAAATACACGAGACAAAGGCAGCTGTGGACTGAGGAGCTTACTGTTGAAAATCAGTGACACATTAACTAACTGTCCCGGCGTAGAGCATAAAAATCACATTACATTACTTCTTCCAGGTTGTGAAGCTGTTAATTATGGGGCTGTGTGCTCTGATGCAAGCCATGTGAGATGAGATCATGCTAGTGCCATTAGTCTCCCGCTGCAGTGGCCGCAAATGGAGTAACAAGGTTACAAGAAGCAGCAACAAGGCCTTACTCTTCAGCCTGGATGGAGTCGGCAGGGGCCACGTAATTGCTCGGGATGTAGCCGTTCTTCCCCGTGTTGATGGAGCGAGCCTCCCACCAGTCTCCCTCTCTGCAGGACAACGACAAAGGAGGGATGAATGACTCTTCGTGTAACAATCAACCAACGTCTGGTACTTACATAACCTTTCATGGTAGATACAGCGGATGAACATTGGTTAATGGTGGTTAACAGTTAATATTTTATGGTTGAGCCATGTGTAAAATGATACGCACTTTATACACCTTTGTGTTGTAGGGAAGTTTGAACCGCCACTGTGTCATATTTACGATACTTACATTTAAAACCAAATTCTCTTTTCAGCTTTTTTATTCTGCTACGTCATTCAGATTTAATTGAACTAGAGAGATTCTTACGTGTTGTTGATGATCTGGAAGCGGTCTCCCTTTTTAAATGTGAGATCATCTGATGTTCTGGCTTCGTAGTCGTACAAGGCCACAAAGAACGTAACGCCACCTGAAAACCACAAGGACGGACCCGCAGATGAATAAACAAGTGCACACACCCATTAGCAGACAATGATGCAGGTACAGCAGTAGGTTTGTTTGTGTGTGTGACTGTTTAAAGACCAATTTGAGGACATAAATCTGTCTCGCCAAGGTCTGAGAGCTGATAGTGTATCGATTTTCTCCAGCTTTTGTTTTATTACATGAGTACGTCTCCTGCAAGGAAATACGACTCTGACTCCGCAAGGACGAGCAAAGACAAAATCCGGGTTGTCTCCCTGAGTCATAATCTAAATCCTATCAGGTGAACTTAAGTAAGAAGTGACCTATTTGCACAAAAGCTCCAATTAAACACAACAATAGATAATAAATCACAGTGTAGGTCTACTAATCTCTCTGTCCCGTGCACGTTCTGCCGACCGTGCAGCCACATGCCCGGACAGATGACGTTCATATACCCACCACTGACAACAAATGCTGTCAACAGTAATCCAATTATCTCCTGCAGAAAGCAAATATCATGGCATTGCCACCTTCACTCCCCCCTGAGAGCAGATAATCCATTGTGGAGGAGGATTACAGTCTAAATCCCACCTAAACAGGAGGGTTCAATCTGGGCCTCATCAGGATCGCCGTAAACTGCTCAGACACGTTGAGGGTGATCACCAGTGATAGCAGCTCCTGTGTTAAAGCTGACAAAAGCAACAGCAGTGAAAATAACAACTATGGCATTAGCCGTGACGTCCACATGTCAGATTAGCATACTGGCGTTCAGTGTGTTTGCATTTAACTGATTTAATACAAATCATTTGAATTACTGCTGAATATTGTTTCAGCATATTATGGTGATTTATATTTTTGAAAGTGAATTTCCTGCCCTTCAGGAAGCCAATGATTTCCATTAATTTCACCGTTAAGAATAAACTAGGCTGTAAACTGCAGTTTACATCCACGATCGTTATCAGTTCATCCTCAAGTCCAAGTGGACATTTGTACAGACATTGACATTGTTCCCTCAAGATGTTTCACTTTCACAAGACTGGGACGGACAGACTGAAACCCCCCAAAACATAAAGATCTCTGTAATGGCTGTGGCTGGTGCGCAGTCGTAAAAATCAAGTTTACAGTCAGGAAGTCATTTTTTCTAATATATAAATTGGAGCCATGTATTTGCAGAAAAAGTCTCTGAGAATATCTGAGTCTGGGGTTTGACATTAAGAGGGCCATGCTCTCCATTAAGACCATTAAAATTAAACACTACTCACTGGAGACAGCCCCAGAGAATGAATTGGACACGGGACCAGAGAAGGAAGACGACATCCCCCCAAAGGGAGTGATGGCAGATGAGGATCCACCAAACGGTGTGAGGGTGTGGTTAAAATTTGCAGCCCCGGTGCCAGACGTGGATGTGGGAGGCTGATTCTGCTGCAGCTGGGTGGGATCCGGCCCGTAGTGACCTATGTGAGGCGTGGTGGCTGCAGTGTTCGGGTCCGACACCAGAGGATTCTCCGGCTGATACTTCATCGTGGGTCCTTTGTCCTCTTTGCTTTTAACGCAGCCCATCGTCTTGCCCTTCCTGGACAGAGAGAAAACAAAGCCCTCAATTTTAATGCAAGCAGATTGAAGAATATAAAAACAGCATCCACCTCATCCCTCGCCTTTATGATGCAAAATGAAGTGACAGGACAGGGAGGCGCAGGATTAATGACTGCACCATAAGGCTGTGGAGCATGAGTCATGAAATGAAAATTTAATGATATTATCATGTGAATCATTTTGTTGTTGTTGTTGCGAGCGCTAAGACTGTAAGCCATGTGCTAACTGGGACATATGGGTGAAGGCTAAATCCGCTTTGAGTCTCTCAACAGTCAAATGTGGCCATGTAGATTAAATTGTGTGCGTGTTTTGAGGTATGCTAAAAAAGCTGATGATCCGTTGATATTGTCACAATCTATTACGCCATTGTTCTATGAGGCGACAGGTTAAAGCCAATCTGAGGCTACTCTACCGTGACATGGAGGAAAAAAAGGAAGTCTTTCCTGTATTAGTGCTGTGTCCAACATCTTTTGCCTCTTTGTAAATCCTGAATCCCTCTTTGGGGCCCCCTACATGGGCCTACTAGGCATAGGTCCAGTGGTTTAAGGGGTCAGAGGCCCCTGGGCCACAGGCTTTTTCAAATGAACAGGAAAAGACTCAAAAAAGCCATAAACACGCTAAAACTACAGATACTCAACATAACTGCAGTACTAAGTAATACAACTACAAAGACACACAAAAAGACCACAGGGAATCTAAAAACAACCACAAAAGAGACACAAAGCAATAACAGAATGTGTAGAGACGACGAGGCTATGAAATTTCAACAGATTAAAAACGACGATACAAAATGACCACAACAAGACTACTTGTAGTAGTTTGTACTTTGGGTGGCTTAGGGGCCTTTTATGAGTCTGCACCCAGGGGCCTAGTGTTTCATGACATATCCAGATCTCACCTTTTAAGATTTAAAACACTGGTTTGTCTCCGTCTGCATGGCTGTCATTTCTTTCCTCTAACATGATTTTGCTGGAGTGGCATTCCGCTGTGAGGTGAAAGTCTGGAAAATGTGGAGACAATCAGACACGCTCGTGAAGACGTCTGGGCCCTACGAGATCAGAATGGTCTCATTCATTAAAATCAGCCGCGACTCCAGGAAGTCGGACTCGGTTAATTGTTGCTGACACATGACTTGTGTTTTTCATTCAGAGGAGAGAAGATGTTGAAACAGGCCAAAACTCGGTGCTACTGAGCAGCATCGCGACACAGCTGGCGACAGGCGCGACAAAGGCGGCCGTCACAGGGTTACAATCACACATCATTTGAAGAATAGACGAGCTGCTGGAGCTGTAATACATCTTTCACTGATTTTGGAACAGCGGCCTTGATGTTGGCGGTGGGAGGGAAGAGAGAGAGGGGCGTAATCGAGAGTTCATCGAGTTCTCTCGCTGAACTGCCAAGGAAATCAAGAGAATGAGGGCAAACCACAGAGGCTTTCCAGAGATTCAGAACACTTTGCTCAAATAAAACTGTACAACCGGTCGAACTGCAGGTTGCAGCTCGTGCCGGCCACTGGTCGAATACTCAAAGCCATTTTACGAGGTGATCCGTCACTGAAGATGTGTCAAAATGAAACAGATTTCTTTAGAAAATGGCTCCATAGGAACTTGCCAGTAAATCCCATCTCAGGCGTTAGATGTCGAGCCAGTGTTTTCGAGAATGTTGGAAAGAAGGGGGAGAAAAAGACGGCCTCGCTCAGCAGCCTGGTCAACGATGGCTGGCTCGCGTTTCATCATCAGACAGATGAGTCTGGCTCGTTGGGTCAGCAGTGAACTTACCACACCATAAAACCCTGGCCAGCGTCCCAGGAATATTTGCACTTTCAACTGAAGACGATTTCCCGTCCAAAACTGAGACATCAGGCATTTCAGGAAAGTGACATCACTCTTCTAAAGTTAACATAAATGCAAAAGTACTGAGTTGAAGTTATGGAGCTTTTTCAGAGGATTCAGATCTATTGCAGACAAAAAAAAGCACAAGTTTATGAGCCTTTTTATTTATTATCAGCAAGAAGGACGTCTCTTTGTGAAAAGTATAAAGAAAACAATAGTACACAGTGTAAAATATGAGAGGAATATGGGTCTGACAACTAATCTACCAGGCTGAAATAAAGCTAATGATAATACCTTGTAGATGGACGATAGACATTGGGTAGATTATAGCCGTTTTGTTTTGTGTGTTAGACGTTAAAAACTGAAATTAAATTCTTTAGTCGTTCACAGTGAAAAGACATGCGATACATGGTCCACCATCTTCACTGAGGGCTGAGCTAAAAAAGAACTACAGCAAAGATTATATCTGATTAAATCAAATTATCTGTGACAAATTATACGTTTCATACCAATAAATCCAGCGTGATAAGTGAAGCACTGCCGAGCAAAACAGTAATTCAGATAAAATCTCCACCAGTGGCAAAAAGAAAACGATTAAGATCGACTTTACACAGAGTAAGAATAAAAAGAGACAGCAGGTTGGTTGAATGAGATAGGGTGGGGGTGGGGTGGTGGGGGTGGTGGTGAGGCAGACGTGCCAGCTTAAACTACTGGGTGGATTTACAGAATTTAAGAGGATAATAACAGAGAGCAAATAAAAAGGAGTGACCATCAGGACCTGGAGCTGTAACGTCGTCGACCTCTGACTCCGGCTGCTCAGGCCTGAAGTGACCTTCATGTGAAAAGCACAAACAGTAGATCAGCTGTAGACGACTCTTGGCCGTGATGAGACAATGCAGACTGGCTTTGTCCGAATCAGCTCGGCCAGCCGTCTATCAACACCATGTTGTTTTAATCAGCCGGACATCACAAAATGACACCGTGGGCTTCGTCTACAGAGCAGATGAGACGCAGAAGTGAGAAAGCAACAACCCGACGAGACGTGAACATCACATCAGGCGGTAAAAACACCACGACTGCACTGAATCCAGTCAGAATCGAGTCTCGACACAAGATCATTCCTGAACAACACAAGACCCCCGGAGGAGAATCTGCCTTCGCCTGCTATTTATAGCAACTTATTGTAATGGCTGACAACATCCCATCCACTGCCCTGAGGAAGACGAGGTGACCTACAACAGCACGGAAACACCAGAGAGCTCCCAGTTACATGAGCGAGAGCTATAAAGACACAATGAGGGAGGAAGGTGAAGAGTTGAGAGGAGGAAGTTTACAGACACACAAAATACAAACACACATGTACAGTATACACAAGCTCCCCCCTGCATCTAATTTGGAACGACACGGGGCTATTGTCTGCAGATAGAGACGAAATGAGGATAAGGCGACTTCTCAATCAAAGCTCTGTAATTTGGTGCAGACTGAAACGATTCGCTGAAGGCAAACGTTTCCCATTTTTCAACGAGCTCGAGTGTGAAATCTAAAAAACAAAGATGCGCATTCGTTTTCTTCTGTGTGAGACTTATTTATTCCCAGCAGAAGGGTTTCATTCATGGAAACTGAAATGAAGACCTTGGAGACATTTCTGTCTCTTTAATTTTATGTGCCACAGACTTTATCTTCGTTTAGTATTCCTCTTGCAGTGAGGTCTGACTGCTGCGTGCTGCTGTAGAACTGATAGCTGGTGGGGGTTCAGGGCCCTGCTCAAGGACACTTCAGCAGGGCAGCCACGACCTGGCACCTGCTTGAAGCACGATAACCAGGCCACCTGGAAGCTGAATACAGACACAGAGACTGGAGCACATTTCACTTTTTATCAATGTTCCTGAGGAGTATTGTAGAAAACGAGTTTAACCTCACCGTGGGGTTGGGATGTGGTGTGCACACTTCAACGTGCACGTGTGTCCCAAACCACTTCCAAATCGTAGTCCTCCACCACAGTCACCGTAAAGTCAATCAAGCTGCACCAAATTACACACACACTCATATACATCAGTTCTCTTTATGAATTTCATCCAGATCCATGAATCATTCCCAGAGAAACTGGTCTCACAAGATTCAAGGTTCTGACTCTTTGTCCAGATACAACCGAACATATATTGGGTTTTTTCGTGGCTCACCTCACATCCATTCAGTAATACTGCTGTCAAACACACCAACCAACAAACAAAGTGACGGGGCAAAGACAGAACCTCTGTGGTTATTTTGTTTTGGAGGTCACGTCTGAAAACGAACTTAAGAAATGAATTATTAATGTGAAAACAACTGGAATCAAACAGTTAACGTTCCCGTGAACTACAGAGAACTTTACACTGTGTGTTATCTTGTTCATCATTTGCATTCTGACTGATGAATTTCATTTCATCCTTCTCTTAGATGTGAGGCTGGAAAGCTTATTTAAAAAACTCATAGCCTGCATTATAAATGAGCCAATTATTCTAAAATATATATTCAGCCTTTTTAGGATCTCGCTGAATCAAACAGCATCAACTCCCCTGAGGTTGAGATGATCTACACTCTAATGAATTTGACATTTGGCTGGCTAAGAGTCAGACGGCCGGGCTGAGGGAGACGACGGCGGCAGAGTCACTCCATCCGTCAGCCAGCGGTCGAAGCGAAGCCCTGGCCAGTGTCTCGTTGGACAGCTGTTGGACGGGGGGGAGGGCCTCCGGAGCTTTACTGGGCTTCAGATCTGCAACAGACGCCGCCTGCCACCATCCACCGCATTCCTCTGATGCCAAAGAGTTAAAAGTGGGGTGTGGAGTAACGTCATTCCACGAGATGGATGTGAAGCCTCAACGTGTCAGCAGAAACATCACTAAATAAGATTTACATGACTCCGGGTGTAGAGTCCTGCTGCAAGAACTCTCTCATGCAGACGAGGGCGAGAAGAGACTTGTAAAGTTTGATTTGAGAAATCGTAAACACAGCCCGGGGGGTTTTTTTGGGAAATGAACGAAGAGACTTGAGAGCACTCGACTGTTTTCACTGGAGGTAAAGGAGCCTTGTCCCACAGCTCTCTTTACCAGCGTCTGTCCTGAGGGAAGAGCTCTGTCGGATTTTCAACTCGATATGATTCCACATATTTTAC